AGCAAGAATGACCTCCTTGAGATGCTGAGATTATACATAGATACTTATTGTACACATTCAGACTATTTCCATCAAAGAGAAATATAGGATTTACAAGGTTTAGCCTAATGTTATATGAAGTTTGACAATGAAAATCGGCTGGCATCAATGTTTGTGATTGACCGATGCAAGGAAATTATCACTATTGTCCTCCAATGACCTCCATCCTTAAGGACCATCATCACCCGATATTAATTGAAACCGACAACTGTTGCAATCAAACTTTCATCGCTCGTCGTCTCTGTCGTTCGTTCTCTCTGCTCCTTGCATCTCCCCTCTATTTTCGTTGTTCTCAATCAATTATTGCCCAAAATATATTAATGTTCAATATCCAACGATTATCTTTCAAGTTGTCCGGTCTCCCCTCTTATTAGTACAACCAAGCTAAATAATCATGTTTCCCTAAACTTTCAGTATTTTTTGTCAACTATCGACTATTTAAATTTTAAATTCATTGATTAAAAAAGAATTATGCAATCAATATTCATATGAGTAAGGAGATACATTATATGCAACTTAAGCTCCAAAGAAACTTCATAAATCTTCTCATCAGAAAAAATCATAACTAGTAATCGACATCAACTTCTTGTTCAAATTTGTTAATGCTTCTAATAATTCTAGCAATGATTGCCTACTCACTAGACTTGTTTGGTTCATTAAAATCTTAAAAGAACATTAAAACACCTTGATTAGACTAATTTGATGTCTTCTTTGACTGGATTTAATTAGACTGAGATCTAAACAAGTCCAAATTGGCTCAACCATTGCCCCCCACTTCAAACAATTTTAATAGAATGTATGCATGCTTAGAGCATTCAAATCGAAGCTGAAATGATTTTAAGAGTAACCAGACGTATCTTTAACAATCCTAAACATATCATAAAGCAAGACAAGGTATACCTACACAAGAGCTAAACTCCCATGCTAGTAGTGTTGCGCTCCAAGGAGAGGACCGACCAATGGATGCAATCCCATAGCAATATATATATATATATATATATATATATAACTTGTAATTTTAAGTTTAGAAAAGCTCAAGTTCAAAAGGTTGTCTCTCTCTAAGAGTACTTTTTATAAATAATAACAATAATACATTCTTTCAAAAATGCAAAATCAATCAATATAAATAAATTAAAGTCAAAACTAAGCACATTTTCAAAATCCTTTAAAGAAATCCTTTTAAAAATTTAAAGCTTATTTAAAATTTTAAGGGGATTTTCCTTAAGATCTTTTCAGAATTAAAAAAAAAACTTTCAAAACTTATAAGAGTTTCTTGCATTGCTTCTTTTCTAAAATTAAACTATTTTAAAATAATTCTTAAGATTCAAAGTTCATTTCAAAACTCAAATCCAAATTTAAAAGTCCTTATATAATGAAATCCTTAACTTTTTAAGAGTTTAAAACCTTTTTCTAAGAATTCTTAAACCAAAACATTTTATAATCCAAAGTTCTTCAAACACTATTTTAAAAAATTTAAAACCTCATTAAAACTTAAACTCAATTCAATTAAAAAGGATCCTTTTCTTGAAAGAGTATTTCTATTACCCCACTTGAGCTTAGCAAATTAAAAACCATTTATAGCTTAGCACTTGCTAAGCTATCTCAGGTGCTTAAAGTAGGCAAGATTTATATACTTCCTAGCTTAAGAGTTTAATAAAATGAATATTGTTTCTCTTTAGAAACAAAAGATTTCCTAACCAAGGCTAATGAGTGTTTGTGCCATTTTTAAATCTAAATGTTTCATGTGAAAGTGAATTCTTATCCCTCATATCCTCTTCACATGATAAAATGACCATTTTGTGAAAATCTTTTGTTGTATGAAAAATAAAATCTTTCCAATGAGAATATGAATGATTCTTTAATATAAAAAGTATAGAATTAAAAGGGCTAAAGTTTAACTTTTATGAAGTCGTAGACCACATACACTTAAACTTAAGCCTTAGAAAAACATAAGATTGGAATTTGTTTTGAAAATCTTAGAAACATTGCAATTATCTTACATCAATCGATGCCTTAAGAAAAAATGATACTTAAACCTTTAGAAAAATATTGATTTGTCGCCATAATGGAAAAACTTAGGAATCAAGCAAATCACTATTTAAATAGTGAACTCTTGAAACATTTAAAATCAACCAACTCTAAATTTTTATAACCATACCCTAGGTTAGCTAACATAGACGAAAATCTAGGCCCACACATACCCTAGAATATTCCGGTCTAGAAGCCTATGATAGCTTGCTAGGTATCAAATAGAAAGATCAAAGGACTATGACATATAAAATAAGAGTATATAAGAATGAAGTAGCTCATGCTACTGATGAAGATACTCCAAATCATTTTATAATGGTAAGGTCTACCTTAATTCATTCTTATGACAACAAGGGAAACCTCTTGTTATTTTATTAGTTAATAGTCTAAGGATATTAATGTATCTAGGATAATGGAAAGTCATGGGCATCTTGATCGGGTGCATTACTCTCAAAATTTAGGTAAGTTCATCTATAGGCTTCTGTTTAGAGTATTTAGCTTAGGGTTTCACCTCTATTTAGAAATCTCATACCCTTTCTACCATTTAGTTTGGGATCTGTCCTAACTCAGTTTCTATTTAAATTGAATACAAATTCCACTCAACCCAAGTAAATTTGAAAATCAATTCCAATGTGATTCAAATCAAACTCAAGCCCACTCCAATCCTAATCAAATCAGATTCAATTCAACTTCATTTTCAATTCAGCTCAAGTCTATATCTCAAACCTGAATTTTAAATTTAAGCATTGTACCATCACTCTGAATTTTTATTGTTGAGCTCAAACCCTAAGAATAAAGACATTTTAAAACTTAACATAAGTCAAATCAGAAACTTTAATTAACCTCAACATTAAAATAAAATTCATAACAAACTAAACTTTCAAACCAACCTTAAATTCAAAAATCCAAAATAACTTTAACAATCAACTTTAAAAATTAAACTTAACCAACTTTAATACAACTTAATTAACTCTAGCTAATAAAAAAAATATTTTAAATTTAGAAATAAAATTAAATAATTCTTAAACCTTATTTAAAAATGAAAATGAAACAAATCTAATAACTTTAATAAACCAAAACTTAAAATTTTTCATCAAATCAAGTCTAAAACCTTACAACCTTTTCAAAATTTAACAACCAACCTAAATTAAACTTTTACTCAAACTGAACTTTTAAAATCAAAACTAACTCAATAAACTCAAGTCACTAAGCTAAGGTGAAGTTAATTTATCCAAGCCTACTCTTATATCTATGTTTTCAAACATCTACTTTCTCACAAAATTTAAAAATGAAAGATGCAAGGCATAACTTTAACAGAGAGTATTTTTAGGAGTAATTCTTGAGATGTAATTAAATTTGAGAGAGCCCCCTCATATGGACACTAGGTCATAAAATAAAATAAATCTTATCTTACACCTATAAGGTAAGGGGATAATCCTGGTTCTATAGATCCATGAATCATGAAGAGTTTCTTCATGTAAGTGATTAGATTGATTCTAAGTTAATATTTCTATTATTCAGAATAGTATATTATTCTTCAAATGTCATATCTGATCACTTAGATAGATATCTTTCAAGGTTTAAGGTGGCTACCACAATAAAAAAACTCCCCAATGACTAATCAATGCCACAAAAACATGGCCTTCAAAGATTTTCTATGGCGTACAAAGACAATATTCCTCTGATGATATGTTGGCAAAAAGTATGGAAGCATCCCAACACATCTCTAATTTGAGGATATGCTTCCAACTAGGTTGATAATATAACATGCATCTCAACCCAACCAAACGTGCATTTGGAGTCATGTCGGAAAAATTTTTGGGTTCAAGGTCACTCATTATGGGATCGATGGGAATCCCAAGAAGATCAACGTACTAAGATATATTCCCATACTAATACTATACTTATTAAATGTAGCACGTGATATATTGATATGTTCTTATAGGTTATTTAAATTTAATATATGTTTATTTTCTCTTATGTGTATTGAAAATTGTAATAGATTTTGAATAATCCATTGAGCTCTAATTACTTACATTTATCTTATCCAAAGGTCCCATTGTATTCCATTGTTGTATTAACAATTTCTTCGTTAGATCAACAATAAAAGGCGAATGAAGTAGAAGTTGTAGGTTAGCTCACAATATTGACAGGTTCATTTAGAGAGAGCGGCACACTCTCACCATATAATACTATTGCTTTATTGCATGCTAACTTCAAGATATGGCAGTGTTGTAACTTCCCCACTCATTATGTGTGCATCTATTTAAATGATGTATTCACAAGTCACGCCTAATCTAGTAAGTTGAAAGAACTCTATTACATTATTACATACACAATAAATTAAATACATCATAGTCAATGTATACTAATCATACAATTATGCAATAAGTGATAAGTTTGCATTAGTCTTAATCTTGTAAGTTGTTCGTGTTTGTCACAGATATAATCTCACAAAGTATTGCATATTATAGGTATAATTAAACATCAAATCTTAGATGATAAATATGTGAATTCATAAGAATTGTGTGGTATGTATATAAATTTCCCATAAGTAAAATTAAAAATATAATATTTTTTAAGAGGCATTAGGTCAACAGCACCCAATTCATATGTATTTACATATATAACACCTAAACTTTTTTCTTGAAAATCTATACCACCCAAATCTTTCATCGTTTGCTATATAGTACGGTGGTATGTATGTAAGACTTAAAGTTTAGGCGTTGATATGCAATCACGAACGAATGGAGTGGCATGCATGTAAATATTTCTTCTTTCTTAAATTTCCGCTTCTCTCGTTGCACGCCCCCACTTTCTTCTCCCTGCGGTTTTGTTCATTGCCCTGTAGCTGCAGCGCCAACCGTTTCATCTCTCTCCCTCTCTTCCCATTATTTAAGGCTGCTAATCCTGACTTCTATGATTGGGAGACCTGTCAAAATCCAACTGATCCATTCACTTCTCAGCTATTCTCGGCGAAAAACAGAAAGAGACTTGAAGCGAACGGTTGGTGTGAAAAAAACGGTTTTTGCTTGCAAACACATTTATTTTCTGCTTTTTTTCATGTCGGATTGAAAGCCATTTTATTTAATCTGACAGAGAAAATACGTTGTTTGCAGATCACAGCAAGCTATAAAGCTCCAATCTTGAGGGGATTTAGCATTTGTAAGATTCGCGAAGGTGAAGGTGTGTGGAAGGAATCACATTTCTATTTTATAATCGCTGTTTGTTTTTGGAATTTGATTTTGTTGCTTTTTTTTTCAGTAGACTTTTTCCCTTTTTAAGTACTCTGCTTCTTTGTTTTTATAATGAGCTGCAATTAGTTTTTTACTGTTTTGGTGAAAATGAACAAGAGGTGGCGTATATTAGCATTTCAGTACTGAATTTATTTATGTCGTCTTTCAGTCTTATTCCAAAACCTTTTTTTCCTGTCTTTTTTAATCATTTGTGTTGCGCTTTCTAGGATTCTAATTAGGATTTATGCCGATGGGAGAAGAAAGTCAAGTTGTATGGCAGAACACTGAATACATTGGAACTGAAGCGCCTGAATCTGAACTATTTGAGAGAGATAACAAGCTCGAAAGTAATGAAATAATGATTTCCTTTGATGCTATTCTCCCTGATGATATGTGGGAGAAGATTTTCTCCTTTCTACCCATTGCAAGTATAATTAGAGGAGCATCTGTGTGCAAACGTTGGTACGAAATAGTGCATTCAGGAAAGAATTCATGGTTGGACATGCCACCCCAGAAGCCATGGTACTACTTGTTGGCTTACAACTTGTACAAAAACATTGAAGCTAATTCCTATGATCCAAGCTTTAGAAGATGGTACAGTTATGATTTCCTCTCCCTTAACAAATACAATTGGCTTATCTCTTCGTCTTGTGGATTGGTTTGCTTCATGGATTATGGAAAGGAAAACAAAATTTACACAAGCAACCCAATTTTAAGAGATTGTAAGCAGCTACCAAATCCTCCAAATGGAACACTTTCAGATCACAATGCATTGGCTTTGTCAGTGGACAAGTTTTCTCAATGTTACCAAGTTGCATTGATGAAAACCAAGCAATTTCGAGATGATTTTATTCGTTGGGACTTCACCATCCAGGTCTTTGAATCAAAGAGTTGCCTTTGGACAACATTAGTTAATGAGGTTTTGGTTGGGTGGAGAGGAGAAAGAGAGAGTGTGATATGTGATGGAATTCTCTACTGCCTTATTTCCTCATTTTATGGGAGCAATGTGGATAGCCATGGCCTCATCATGTACAATATCAATTCGAAATCTTTGTGCAATTCTTCGATGCGAAGAATGATTATGGTGCCATGTCCCCTCACTTGTTGTCGTTTGATGAATCTTAGGGATAGGTTGGTTATGGTTGGGGGTATTGCAAGACTAGAGCTACCTGTGAGAATCGAAGGAATTGGCATCTGGACTCTTAAAGATGAAGAATGGGAAGAGGTTGCAAGGATTCCACGCAAGTTATTGCAGAGGTTTGGGGAGTTTGATGATTTTTTTGCAAGCTGTGGAGCAGAGGATCTGATCTTCATCCACTCATATGATGGCCCTACTCTACTTATATTTGATATGACCAAAAAGCAATGGGAATGGACAACTAATTGCCCAATAACAAAACGATCACCTTTTCAGGTCTTCACAGGATTCTGTTTTCAACCAAGCTTGGAGATCAAATCCTAAATCATTCCTCTGCATTTATCATCATTAGAAGACATCTTCTTTTGTTTCCGTCTTTCATTCTAAGAGATTGTAAATATTATATTTTTTCCATGTAAATATATCAAAGATCTTATAGAGTGTTTCAAATTTGTTTTTTATTTTTTTATTTTTTATTTTTATTTTTTATGTTGATGTAACTAGTTCTAGTAACTTCGGTTTGAATCAAATGTGTTGTTTGTATCAAATGTGTTGTGTGTTGTGCTTCTTTTATTTTGAGATGATAAGTAGCATTTTCAAGTCTCCATCTTTTCTTCTTCTTCAAGTGTTGTGCTTACCCCATCTTCATCTTCTTCTTGTGTTGCTCTTACTTTTGCATTGGTACTCTCCTCTATATATATGTCCTCTAAAATAGATAAATCGGTTGTTAAGTTAAATTCAATTTTTGCTTGTTTTGTTTATTAAATATGGACTTATTAAATCCCTTATTAGTTGAATTTAACGGATTTAGCACTGGAGAAAAAAAAATATTTCAAATAGATTAATACCAAATACATCAAATGGATTTAACTAGATTTAATCTTAATTGAACCAAATATTATTTGAAATTTAATAATATTTCTATTTGATAAATCTGGAGTTATCAGATTTACTAAATTTTATTTAAACACCCCCTTAGTTAACCCAGCAGCTCATGCGAGAGTTCAGTCACTGAGTGTTTATGGCGAAAGCTATGAAAAGAGGAGGGATATAGGAGACGGTTTCGAGCGGGAGAGTGGAGAGGTGGATAGTTTTGTATTTTTAATTTAACTTTATTGAAGTTAATTTTTAATAAATTAATTAATTTTAATTAATAGTTAATTGATATATTATCGTATTTGTTATAATTATCTAAATTTTCTTCCCCAAAAAACAATCTATCTAAATTTCTAAATAACTATTTAATAATTAATTAATAAAAATAAATTGCATATTGAAAGTTAATTTTTTCTAATCAAGTTCCAAAAAATTCTTAACAAGAATAATAAAAGATTAAATAATTATTAATGGTTAAATATTAAACTATTACTTAATAAATAATTATTTTATCAAATTTTTTATGAATAATTAATTAGTTTAATAACTATTTATTTATTTATTGGCATAAATAGATATAAAATAAAATATAATAATTAATTTCATTTGTATTGATAAAATAATCAAATTTTTAATTATATTTCTATATTCTAACAAATATATAGATTTTCAAATTGTTGAATCATGATTTGTCCATCAATCACATCCAAAAAAATAGAGCATATATAAGGAGAGAGATAGAGAGAAGAGTTAACAATATATGAAAAGTAAATTGTATTAATATGTTGATCTTTCCCAACCTTTTTAGCTAAAATAGGGTGTATATATCATTTTTCTATACATGAAATGTTCCTCCTATTTATACGCGATAAATTATACAGGGCATTCTAGATATTATATAGGTATGTGTCTACCGCTCTGTTGCACTCTAACTCGTTATTTAAGCTTATATCTTCAGCTCAGCAAGGTGCATTCTATTGGATGGCCCTAAACCCTAAACCGACCTTTCCTTTTGTGTGTCTGTGGGGGGGGGG